TCTCTCAAATAAATAAGTAAAATCTTTTAAATAAATAAATAAGAATCAGAGGATTGTGTGGCAAAGACTGAAGGAAAAGGGAATGGAGATGCAAGGAGCACCTTAGCTGATGGCAGATGGCAGCTGGTAAAATGTGGCCACAGTGTGGCCCCTGCAGCAGGCATACAGACTGAGGTGGAGCTAGGGAGAACATTCCGGTCAGGTGAAACCATGATGAGACTTGCCACCTCGAGGAGGCCCTGTGATTTTCTTCAGGTGTACATTTCTTCTGATTGTATGAATGTAAAAAAAGGAATTACAGAGGTCAAAGGGAAGGACCTAAGATGATTTAGGAAAGTAGCAAGAGCAAGTTTTGTCTGCATTATCAAAAATCTCATCCAAGGGAAGGTCTGGGAGAGTCAATCACATTTTTTGCGGTCACAAGATTATGACCATTTCTGCTCCTTGCTTAGAAAATGTTCTGGGGCGCCTGGGTGGCTCAGTTGGTTAAGCGACTGCCTTCGGCTCAGGTCATGATCCTGGAGTCCCGGGATCGAGTCCCGCATCGGGCTCTCCGCTCAGTGGGGAGTCTGCTTCTCCCTCTGACCCTCTTCCCTCTCGTGCTCTCTATCTCTCATTCTCTCTCTCTCTCTCAAATAAATAAATAAAATCTTAAAAAAAAAAAAAAAGAAAATGTTCTGTTTCTAGCATTACTCCAAAGTATTTTTTAAGTGCCTAGTGTTTTGGTCTACTTCCCCTGTCACAGCTCCCTGTGACATCTTGCTCTTTCCTTGAAACTGGGAATATCTTAGTTAGTCTATTAAAAACATGAGGATTCTGAGCTTTCCTGTATGATAACAGCTGGTGATAATTAGCCAAATGTTGGTTTACCTCTTCAGACGTTCAAATTTACTTGCCATTTGCAACGACGTGGATGGAACTGGAGGGTGTTATGCTGAGTGAAATAAGTCAATCAGAGAAAGACATGTATCATATGATCTCACATCATATGATGTGAGTATGAGGAATTCTCATTAAGAATATGAGGAATTCTTAATCTCAGGAAACAAACCGAGGGTTGCTGGAGTGGTGGGAGGGTGGGAGGGACGGGGTGGCTGGGTGATAGACATTGGGGAGGGTATGTGCTATGGTGAGCGCTGTGAATCGTACAAGACTGATGAATCACGGATCTGTACTTCTGAAACAAATAATGCAATATATGTTAAGAAAAAAATAAAGAAGAAGAAGATAGCAGGAGGGGAAGAATGAAGGGGGGAAATCGGAGGGGGAGACAAACCATGAGAGACGATGGACTCTGAAAAACAGACTGAGGGTTCTAGAGCGGAGGGGGGTGGGGGATGGGTTAGCCTGGTGATGGGTATTAAAGAGGGCACGTACTGCATGGAGCACTGGGTGTTATGCACAAACAATGAATCATGGAACACTACATCAAGAACTAATGATGTAATGTATGGTGATTAACATAACAATAAAAAATTTAAAAAAATAATTTAAATGTTGGAATAATTACTACTACAGACTTCAACAAGCAAACATTTAAAAACACTTTGGTGTGGCCCATGAGACCCCAAAGTCCTTTGCTTTCCCAGAGAACTGATTTTCGACTGTGGATGTCTAAGTGGCCTTTAAAATGCCCAACCAAACTCTGAACTGTCATATTAGCTGGGGTAAGAGATAAGGAGTAAGAAAAGTATCCAATCATCCAACCGCATTTCTGCTTTTTTTGTGCAAGCTTCAGAGGAAACACAGTCACTCAGTAAAGTCCCTCTGTTTCTCCCTCCCTCCCTCCCTCCCTCTCTTTCTCCCCATTGTCCAGAGAGGGGAACCCTAAACCCTTTGGAGCCCCGCCAGCAACACCAAAAACATCTCTTGACTATTTTCCCAGGGAATTCCTGCCTTAAATGTCAGCAGAGCACAACTCCTCAGCCAAGGCAGAGTCCGCCTGGATCTGAATCAAGGAAAACGTGCCTCTGGTACCAAACGGGAGACCCTAGATCCATGGGGTACGGGGGCAGGGCCAGAGATTATCTATGGAAGTTTCCACGTCCACTGGAAAGACCCCAGTTCCCTCCGCTTCACCCCACTGAGAGATGGGAGATGAGGCAAGCATTTTGGTTCCTTGCTGCTTTTTTGATTATTTTTATTTCACTCTTCTGGTAGTGAACTTTATTTCTGGAAGCCACTCTGCATTGTAACAGTAAGGCAACATCTCTTTGAAAAGGGAACAAAGCTCTATCAAAGCCCCTTGTTGTGGGGGTTGTGGTTTCGGCTGCTGATGTTTTTCTATTTATTTGTTTGTTTTAAATGAACATACTGATAGAGAAGTGCTCTGGGGGGAATTCATGACGCTGAGATTCATGAAAAGCAAAATAAGATTTATGACTTGCGATGGGATCTGCCCCTGCCAGCCTGGAGACACTGCCCGTCTGGTACTGAGGCATCGCAGGAGTTTTTTAGTGCTTTTGTGTTCGTCTTCAATCTCTGAGTACATGAAGAAATATTAAAAGTTCTGACGGCAAGGGTGGGAGAAGGAGGCCACAAACCCCAGAGATACACATCATCACCAAAAGAAAACAGTAGGGTGTGCTACATTAAAAATCCGGAAGCAGAGTATGTCCATCAGCTGGGTTTTGCTGAGTACTCTTGAAATTTTCATCTACTCTTCTCTCATTTTTCTCCCAGAACACTGATCTTAAATTAATGTGCCATGTTACTATCCTCCCCCAAAGATCATAGCGCTATACAGTAAGAAAGTCAGGAAGATGGCATCAGGAAATTGTTATTCCATTTTTAAAGGAATTAGGCCCTTTTCAAGTTACCAATGGGGGGAAAAAATATTAGATTCCAGGGCGCCTGGGTGGCTCAGTCAGGCGTCTGTCTTCGGCTCAGGTCATGATCTCAGGGTCCTGGGATCGAGTCCCACATGGGGCTCCTTGCTCAACAGGGTGTCTGCTTTTCCCTCTCCCTCTGCCACTCCCCCTGCTTGTGCTCTCTCATGCTCTCTCTTTCTCTCAAATAAATAAAACCTTTAAAAAAAAATTAGATTCCAAATCTCACTTGGCCCTGGGCCCAGGCCAGTTCAAAACTGATCAACGTAGAAGCTGTTCCTTGTATTCACCAAGGCTTCCACCTCGTATTGCCCACAACATCCTCACAAGCACATCAAAGCTACTTTCTTCCATCATTATCCTGCATGCATTGCCCCAGACAATCCTATTGGAAGTTCTGTCCCTAGTCCAAAGAAAAGTCAGGCAAGCAGCTAATTATTGGGCAGGGCTGAAAGGGTTGCAGGAGAACCAATAACACCACCGCAAATATTTAAAAAGATAGTAAATAACACCTAATAAGAAAAACTACCTCCAGTAGGTGAACGGTTAATCCCGGGTCAATTTTCAGCCACTCTGCTGAGAGTACTAATAAGTGCTCGAGCTGGTGCCAATTAGGGTGGCCCTTCCCTTGATGGGAATAGCCATCCCTTAGGAACTGACTGTCAACACACGCTACCAGGGCAGTGATCAGCCAGCCAGAAGAAAGGGAAAGAGTCTGAGAAACCGTGGTAACCGAGTTGTGCTGGCACTTTGTAAATTGGTGACGGGAACTTGCCAAGGCCAGGGAGTGAATGTTAATGAGCTTAGGGCAACCTGCAAAGAGTGGACCTGAAAAATGTCCTCTCGACGACTGGTGTCCCAAGGGAGCACCACTCATGGTGGGTTCCTGTGGAGAAGACCACAGGCTTCATTCACCAGAAAGAACCTAAAAGCTGCAGCATCTGTCCTTGGGTTCACAGACCTCACAGTCACTTCCGACTCAATGGTCTTAGGGTCAGGGCGATTAGCACATCTGTCTAGAAAATCAAAGTTTTCAAAATTTTTAAAAACATTTGTGACCCGTTTTTTTTTTTTTTAAATCGCAGTGTAAAGTCTGAATGATAAACGGCTTTAAGAGTCAACTTGAAACGATTTAAGTGTTCTTTGTGGATTCACATCAATGCCCCCTTCCCCCTCTCAACAGAATGTATTCCTACCTTCAGGGAGCACATTTTTAAAAGGCTGACCCCCTAACCACCATGGACAACCATCTCTGTGCAACCACATTCTTAAGGATGTAAATTCAGTCTTTGTTATCTGAGAATGCTTGAGACAACAATAAAATGCCCCTCTGAAATTCACACTCAAAATTTTAATTCCTCTTTCTAATAGCTTTTCACCCATTCCCAAATCTCAAGTCCCCAAAGGAGACAAGAAAACAAAACAAAAAACATTGTCATTGTGATGCATTCATTCCGCACCAGGCCCCACAAACGACGTTGTCAATCTTGTCCCTAGGTTTACGGATATTAAATTTAGCTACAATTTCCAAAAATTTTGTCCCCACCCAACCTCCATATTTTTAAATGTGCTACTTCTTACCCAACAATTGTTATTAATCTAACAGTCAGTGGAGCACCCTGAAATAGTCTTATTTCCTATTTTTCCTATTATCCAAATCAGTGCCCCCCTAGCTACAAATGGACTTAACCTATTGTGCTTAAAATGCTACTTCTCAGATCAAAAACTTCAAAAGAAGCCACTGGATATTTAACCCCTGAAAAGCAAGGGCACTACAGCCCAGATCTCAACCCATCTCAACTGCTGGATGATACAAACTTGTTTTCTCATAGGTGCCCAATTTCAACCACAACACATAACCAAACAAGACAAATTCTCAGCAATTCTTTGTGGTGAGAAGAATCGAAATAAAACTGGGGGAAATCCTCAATTTCAAAGATTCCCAGCTAAAGAAATAGAATGTAAGCAAACATTTTGTGTTCCTGAAATGCCCTGTGTCTACAGTGATCAGGTAGAGAAAAGTTATTTCAAGTTCAAATATAACTTGCCGATTGCCACATGGTGCAGTCTTTCCACCCCTACACTCCAAAAACCCAATCAGACAAGTGGCCGTAATCTGACTCCCAGTGCACTGGGAGCTGCGGGGCAGGCAATGAGAGCCTCACTCTGGCCAGGGAAGGCATGAGTGGCAGACCCGCAGCAAGGCAGTGGGGGTAAGTCCTTCTTTGCCTTAAGGGAACAAAGCGCGGGCCAAAAGATGAAACTCTGACTCTTTTATTATAGATCTATGTGCCTTCTCAGACAGAATCTAGAAGGAAACTGTAAGGCAGGCAGATGATTCTTTTTGATCTGGGTACCGGGCATAATCATAAGAGAGACATAGGGAAGGGAGAAGAAAAAAAAAAGGATGCTTTGTTGCAAAATCCTCCAAATATTCGAGACCTGTGCATGCACAGGGAAATTACCTTATGGAGGTAAATCTATCTGCAGTATTTTTCTTCAGAAAAATTACTCACCGGGAAGTTCAGCCGTCCAGAAGTGGATCAGGCTGTGTGTTCAGCTAGAAAATAATGTGTCCGGTTCAGTACAACCCGGGCACATCAACAAACCCCTTTTGTTCTGGGGCGAGAGAAGCAAAACAAGTAGTGTTGATCCATTTTCCGTGAGTGTGAACACATAAGGGAATATTGCTGATAATAACAGGAGCTATGACAGACTCTGCCCGCCGAGGTGAGCACTTGGAAGGTCAGGGCTATGTATGTGCTGCCTGGGAACTTTGGGGTTTGCAGCTAACTGAAGCTGTTCGCTCTGCCCTGGAAGGACATCAGATTCTGTGGGTTTTCCAAAAAAGTTAAAGCACTGTTAGGGAGCATATTTATCTACTCGGGGGCGGGGGTTGATGTTGTTGTTGTTTTAATTCCTCTAGCTGATGAAAATTTGAAGCTGAAAGAGCAACTGAGTTTCTTAAATTAGGTCTCTGGAGGGGCAGGAGTGAACAGGCAGGGAGACAGAACTTGGGGGGCCGGGCAAAGTGAGGGAGCCAGGGTATAGCCAGCAGGTGGCCTTTTGCCAGGGCCCACCTCTCTTGGTGGCACGTGGTGCTGAAAAGGGACCTGGGGTGTCCTGTCCCCCGCCCCCCAGCCTCCTTGGTTTCCTGCTTTGCCCTCTTCCTATCTTCCCGTTGAGGATATTTTTAATGTCCCTCTCAGGGCGTACTCCCTGCCCCATTCCAAGGGCTGTTTGGGCTCTTTATTTTCTCTTCCTCTAGGGAATATGATGCCATTGTCCTCCCAGCTGGGCTTTCTTGTAATTACTTGGAGGAGTTCACAGGCAGGGGACACCAAGGACCGGGGGCTGGCTGTCCCCCTTCTGGAGCCACCCCACCTTGGGCCAAAAATTGGTTTCTCCTTCCAGCTCTGAAGCAAAGCCCCATATCAAACCAGAGGCTGAGTTGAGATCCTAAAGGTCAAGGGGGAGTTCCCCTAGCCCTTTTTAGCACAGCATTTCCCCACTGCTCATCCAGAACCCAGGCTCCTGGGAAGGGGGGGGGGTCCTTCCTTATACATCAAGGGGAAAGCTGTGATAACTCTACCCTGTTCAAATACCTGGCTTTCTCTCCTAACCCTTTTCATAGTCCTCTGGTGATCAGAGTCTCTCCACACTCCTTCGCTCTCCCCACTATCACAGGCAAAAGATAAGGGCAAATAACTTGAATAATGGGGTAACTAGAGTAATTGCCCCCACATTGGGAATTCTAGCCATTTCTTGCCCAAGCCAGCAGTTGGCATGAATATCCTCAAACCCCATCCCTTCTCAGCTCCAGAGATCCTCAGACAATAAGAGGAAAACAGACTGGACGAAGAAAATGCTCCCTCCCAACGGCTGTCTTGCTGCACCCCACCCTCCTCCCAGCTCCCCAGCACACCCACAAGGTCCCCCAGAATTGGCGCCCCCGCCGTCTTTCTGGGCCACTCTGAAGGAGGCGAAGGCCGCCAAGAAGACGCTGGAGAACAGCCACTCTCCGTGGAGCCTTCTGCTCCGAGGGCCACTGCCCCCTGCCCCGCGCCCCCGCCGCTGGTCCCCGCGCTCGGCTGCCCCTGGAGGGCGCAGACCGGGTGCCCGGGGCGCCCACACCCGCCTCCAGGGTCCCTTTGGGGAGGCGTGTCTGAGGGGTCACGTCGGGGGTCGAGAGAGGGTCAGGCACAAGAAGGGACTGTCGCCCAGCCCTGCAAAGCACGGCGGAGGCCAGGATGCAGCCTCCCCCGCGCGGCTGCAGGGACGCCTGGAACAGGGGCGGGGCGGGGCGGGGCGGGGGTGGGGCAGGGGCGGGGCCGGGGCTGGTTGGTGGCTGTTTGTCCACCTGGCACCGGCCCGGGGGTGGCCGCTCCCCTGGGGCCCGAGGTTGACACGGCCCAGCGCCGCGCGCCCAGGTCCGCAGGGGAGACGGAGGGAGTGTCCCTGTCGCCGCTCCGGCCCTGCCAGTTCCCACCGCCCCGGCCAGTCACCCTGAGTTCCCCTACCCCGAAGGACTTTACCTTCTCCAAAGACCGGCTTCAGCATTCCTGGCCTCCTCGCGGGCCTCTTCCCTAATCCGCAGTCTCTGCTGGGGGAGAGGAGCATCACGCTCCACAAATCCATTTTCAGAGGGCCATTTTGAGCAACAAAGTGCAAAACTGCAAAAGACCTCCCCCCCCCTTTTTTTTTTATTGCTTTACGTTCAAACTATAAATGGCATGTTGAAAGTACATTGAAACTTAAAAGCTTGCTCTGAGGGAATTAACTCTTGCTCTGAGGTAAATATATTCCCTTCTTAATTGTTTAAGAAACTCGATTTAGACATTTTCCTTGCTAGGGACACATCGGTGCAACTGGATGGGCTTTGACCGTTAAATAAAAGGAGGCTAGCATCACAATTTGACTGTTAAGGAGACAATTAATTAATTAAGAAGGTTTTCTGGAAGCATTCTTTCTTGATACGCAAATAACCTTTGAGGGGGCCCTTCCCCACAGTCCCGCAAGATTACACGCCTGGAGTCCACCCAAATTCAATTCCTGAACCCTGCTTTGGTAAACTGATTAGGATCTGTTTTCTTTTCAGTAAGTGTGGACAATTGTGTAGAAGAGAGAGCATCATGGTGGCCTTCAGAGGGGTCTGGACTCAAGCTTTCTGGAAGGCAGTCACAGCAGAATTTCTGGCTATGCTCATCTTTGTGCTCCTCAGCCTGGGATCTACCATCAACTGGGGGGGAACGGAAAAGCCCCTACCTGTCGACATGGTTCTCATCTCCCTCTGCTTTGGACTCAGCATTGCAACTATGGTACAGTGCTTCGGCCACATCAGCGGCGGCCACATCAACCCTGCTGTGACAGTGGCCATGGTGTGCACTAGGAAGATTAGCATCGCCAAGTCTGTCTTCTATGTCACGGCCCAGTGCCTGGGCGCCATCATCGGAGCCGGGATTCTCTACCTCGTCACACCTCCCAGTGTGGTGGGGGGCTTGGGGGTCACCACGGTAACATCTTTAGCTCTTATTTTCAAACTAGGACTCCGGGCTTCTTGCAGACCCCTGCTACAGGACACCCCGATGGCCTGAGAGACTTTCCTAAAATTGCTAATTTCTTCCCAGAGAATTTCTGATGACTCTTGATACCCGTGAAAACTGATCCCAGCAACACTGATTGTATGCATATATAATCATTGTTGGTTATCAAGTGACTTGAATATTATTAAGTCTGGGTGGCACAAAAATTGTGTTGGTTTTTTTCCCTGGGTCTCACTCCCATCCCAGTGACTATACTAGACTATTTATTTAGCTTAAGGCATTTTTATTACAACTATTTGTTGGTTCGCTAGCAGAAGAAACAATTTTGTTTCTTGTCACTTTCATGAGATTTAAAATGATCTACATCAAGGGTCACACTTAAAAAAATAAATTGACGTTTGATCCTAGCTTTGTCCTTAACTGGTTAGGAACATTCAGTTGTTAGCTCAGCACCAGGATTGATTAAAAAAACACACACACAGTTTAAATTTTAATCGAAATATATATTAATTAATTTAAACCTAATTAATGGATTTCATCATTGCCTTATAAAATTACAAGACTCTCAAGAAACTCCTGTATAAGTTAGGTTCAGCAGTGGCACATTTTGCTTCCTTTGTAGAAAAGGACATTCAGCACAAATTCCCACTTGGTCATTGTAGGAGTAATTAATTATCTGTGATGGCCCAAAATGAGTGGAAATTCATTCCATTTTTTTGGATGCAGAGGGAGCGTCTCACTTGTGGGGTGGAACAGAGGGCTCAAATTAACCATTGCTTTTTCCAATGACGAAGTATGCCTTTCACAATGATAGGTTATCACAGAAAATGTACTCATGCTTCAATTCAAATGGAGCATTTCTCTCTTTCTAGGTTCATGGAAATCTTACTGCTGGTCACGGTCTCCTGGTGGAGTTGATAATCACATTTCAGTTGGTGTTTACTATCTTTGCCAGCTGTGATTCCAAACGGACTGATGTCACTGGTTCAGTAGCTTTAGCAATTGGATTTTCTGTTGCAATTGGACATTTATTTGCGGTAAGTTTCCAAGTCCATTTAAATAATTAATTCATTTCATTTAGCCTCACCCTAGAGCTGGCTTAAAGAGCTTGTGTTTATAGCTGTAGTTCTTTAGTATCCAGCCACATTTGTCCATTTTAGGTGATTATTTTGCTAACTTTATGATGAGAATGTTGATATGGCTGCTAACATCTTGACAGTTTCTCTAACCGACTTGGCAAATGGTAGCAAATTGCAGTGAACGCTTCCTGCTCCTAGTCCCGTTTCAGCAATGTCTGAAGTGGTTTTCTTTTTCCCTATAGATCAATTACACCGGTGCCAGCATGAATCCCGCCCGATCCTTTGGACCTGCAGTTATCATGGGAAATTGGGAAAACCACTGGGTAACCCTCCTGTTGATAATTCTTGTCCTCCTACACTTGAGGACAATTACCCATGGAGCTCTTTTTTTTTTTCTTTGCTCACTAGTTTCCTTACTCCCTCCCAAACTTGACTCCCCACTTTCCTACACCCTTCATAAAGACCAGGGAGAGACTAGCCCAGATCTACTGTAAAACATCACATCTTATATCTGCTCGGGGCCTTCGGTGATAGTCTTTCTTTTTTAACAAGTGCTGCCCTGGGCACTGTATCTGATAGACTTACCTATGTGGAACAAGTGAAAAATCAGGGTGATTTGGTGAATATGGGGTTTCACTCATTGAAAGTAAAGCCTTCCTGGCAATAACAAAATATACACTTGCAAAAAAAAAATTAAAAGAAGAAAGAAATGCTTAAAAGCACTGCCCACAGCAAAAATATTTATCTTTTTTGTTTACAAAAACATGAACCCACTTAATAGTATATGAGTCAGAAGCATTTGAACTGCAGATGGAGAGGAACCAATGTTGGGGATGTTTATGCTGTTATCACCATAACCATACTGGAAACATCGATGACTTTCCGAAGAGGTACACTCTCCAGTCTCATGGCCAACCTACTTGCTCATGTGGTGGCAGTGCTTCCAGAGAGTAGCGATATCCATTTTTAAATATCGTGATCCATTTTATTTCAATTGTTTCTTACAACAAAGGAATTTAAATTCCTTGAATGAATAACATGGCAGTGTTAAGGCCACTCTTAGACTAACTTAAAATAACTAATAAAAATATGAGTCTTATGCAAGCCAGCCTCAAGTAGGGCAACCTTTGATTGTCACTTATGTGCCATGAATGTTATTTTACAACTTTTATTTTTAATTCATGAATATAACCATATGTCACTTGTGTTTTAATCTCATTCACACAGTGGTTATTGACCCAGTTACATCCACCCAACCGTGGTATACATTACAAATGAGAGGAAATCGCACCACTACTATAGGCATTCACTGATAAAAAACTGTATTGAGTTTTTAAAAGTAATTTCAATCCTTAAAGAATGAGAGTCAGTGTTCAAAAGCAAAATTTTGGACGCAGCCATGCAAAGAATGTCAACATATACCACCCATGAGATTGGTCATTTTGCCACCGATATTTCCATTTATGTCTCAAAAAATTTGCCACATTAATAGGAATGGAAATTTTTAATGGGCAGTATATAGTTATTTATGGTAAAGGTACAACTGTTAAGTTCAACTTTATTAAATTTGAACTATTTCTGTAATTACAATTTAGACAAATAACAATTTTTAACTTTAGTTATGAAGACTTTAAAATGTGGATGAAAATATATGGCTTTTATTAATCACCTACTGGTTGTGCTAGGCTAGCTAAAATTTGACTAGTAGGAAAATATTTAGCTTGTTGACTGAATTAAAGTTTTCCCCTTATTCCTATTTTATAACAAACTTAATCCCACTGAATACGAAGTGCTTATTCTGTAGCAATGGTTGTGTGGATTTTAGAACTAATTTACAGCACGTTTGCAGATTGATTGATAGAATAACATCAAAATATTAATGGTGAGTTTTCTAGGGAGTGCAATGACACTGTTTTAGTTTTCCTCTTCACACTTTCTATATATCTATATTTTTAGCAAGAAAGATTATTGACCTTTATAAATTTGGAAAGTCATTTTAAAGTATGTTATGACTTCTGTTTTGGAATAGCAACCTGAAACTGAGATTTGCTCTTTTGGGGGAGCGTGTAGCCAGATGTCCTCCTTGTAGGAGTTTTGGGGATGCATCGCAATTATTTAGCAGTCCCTTGTCTCCCTTGTGGGAGTCGTAGCATGGCGAATAGAACATATCTAATGAGCTTTTACTAAAGGAACAGAGAGCAAAGACATTTAGAGGAGGGCTCTCATTTCTCCTTTGAATGGGCAGGGAGAAGGTCAACTCTTACATGGTTTCTTTCTGTTCAAGATAAGGAGCTTAGTCTTTGCAGCCACTCCACCAGGAGTTTCCATGTGAAGTGTATGTGCTCAGCAACAGCTCACATTTTGAATTTTCTTTAGATTTTGCAGTGAGGATGCCACATGAAATTAATTTCCAGAGAATGTCAAGCAAGAAGCATTCCTCTTATTTTTTTCAAATGAGAAAAGGGGAGGTACATGGAAAGCGGTGCAGTAGTTCAAAAAAGAGGCTTGAAATCACACAGACCCGAAATCCCAGTTCAAGCACTTGCTAAGCCTGAAATCCTAAGCCAGCTTCTTGCCCTCTCAGAGTGTCAGCCTTCTTACCCATAAAATCTGGACAATAATCATATCTACCTCAAAGGTTGCTGTTGGAATTACATGACTTAATACAAGAAAAGTGCTAAGTACAGCTGGCTCAGGAAACAAGGTTTCCATTGCTCCACTGAATCTGTTGAATAAATGTCCACTATTCTGCTGCATATATGTGCTCCAAGCAAACGTTGAGGTTTACCAAAACTCAACATTTAGTTTACTCTAGACACAATAACAGTATGATAAAAAGCTTCCATTTGTTGAATGAAAAATCCTATGGAGTTGCTAATCCTCAACTAACCATCACCCATAAACCCAGTACTGGGTTTTTTTCACCAAGTGACCATGGTAGGAACCATGAGGATGAAAGAAGAGTAATGAACAAATCATGAGGTTTTCAATGAATCAAATCACCAGATTTTAGGGAAGAAAAGCGTGTAGCATACAGAAAATGACTCACCGCCAGCCTATTCACATACAACTTTAAATTGTCTAGGAAACATGGAATGGAGCCTGTTGCTATGAAATTGGAACTAATAAATACAAGTATTATTTCAATTTAATTTTTACAACCTATGAGGTCTGTATTATCATAATCCCCACTTTGCAGATGAGGAAATGAAGTTTTAAGGAAGTTAAGTAACTGAATCAAGAATTCACCAAATTGCTAAGTGGTGGAGCTGGGATTCCACTGATGCTCTGCTGAGTAACTATAGCTCAAATGATAAAATCTGTATATTGATTGCGATTAGGTAGGAAACCAAAATAAAATGGCAATATTAAGAAAATAAGATAAGTACTCTCCAGAAATTCTTTTTTTTCCTGAAGAATTCTTAGTGTATCCTTTGTAGGCAATACCACCAAAGAGGGGTTATCTCAACTTTAAGGATTATCAGAAAAATGGAAAGGAAATAACTAATGAAAGCAAGAAAAGAGAAAACAGCCTTTCCTTATTTTCTGTTCATATGTTATTTAGCAATTTGTGGATCTCTGATGTGCAGATGATGTATTTTCTTATATTCTTTCCAATCTTGCTTTCTTCTGCACAGCACATTTGCTCTCTTAATGTTAACCAGCTAGGCTCTAGATTCATGAGTTGTTCAAAAGAATAGTTTTCCTCCACTTTCACTCCATAACTCTTCCATCTTTTCCCCCAGATATATTGGGTTGGACCGATAATAGGAGCTGTCCTCGCTGGTGGCCTTTACGAGTATGTCTTCTGTCCAGATGTTGAACTCAAACGTCGTTTGAAAGAAGCCTTCAGCAAAGCTGCCCAGCAAACAAAGGGGAGCTACATGGAAGTGGAGGACAACAGGAGTCAGGTAGAGACTGACGACTTGATCTTAAAACCTGGAGTGGTGCACGTGATTGACATTGACCGGAGCGAGGAGAAGAAAGGGAAAGACCCGTCGGGTGAGGTGTTGTCTTCTGTATGACTAGAAGATGGCACTGAAAGCAGACGTGAACCCTCAGAACTGTCCTCAGATTTCCTTCCACCCATTAAGGAAACAGATTTGTTATAAATTAGCCATGCACAGGGTTGTTTTTTCATGTCTTATTATTTAGGCTACACAAGAAATATTTCTTTGTTCTACCAAGGAGGAATGGAAGAAACCTATTGTGAATTCCAAATCTAAAAAAGAAGTCTTCTTAAAGTGTCCCCAAAGCAAATATGAATCTAATTTATCCTGCTGCCATTCATTAATAATCAATTTAAAATGTGTATCAAGATTTGGTTAAGTCTTGCCTGGCAGAACTTAGAGACATACCTATCAGTTTGTTCCTCCTCAACCATGACCCTGGGATTGTCAATCCTCGTTTGAGTATTTATTCCATTGAGTCAAATTTTTCAATGACAAGGGACAGTATGTCACAAAGTCATGCACATTCAACAGAGGAAATATAAGAAGCTCTCTTATGGGAAGTCCCTTATTATAAACTACCTTGGCAAGAGAATATTAACAAGGGTCATTGCTAATGAAATGTTTCCATTTTATATGTCAAATACCCAACTTTCAACCTGAACTCCAATTCATAATATTCCTTCCTTTTCCTCAGTGTCCAAGGTAATGTCGACCTAGAGCCCAGAAATTTGAAGAATGTTCAGAAACCCTGTATATTTATTGGTTCCATCTAATAAAATATCCAAAGCATAAGAAACACCTATTAAAACAAACAGGACAAATAGACTCATAAGATTTTACTGGAGTGGAGGAAAAATTACCATTATAAAAAACCATAAGGAAAGAGGAACCTATATTCTGGAATCAAATAGTTGATCTGTTTTCAGTGCACATCCTCAAATACACCACGTGAGGTTAAATATCCAAGCTTTTAACCACTTAACCATGTTGCTTATTTTTTTAATTTATTGGCAAAACTGGGGGTTTTGTTTGTGACTTTGGTTATCTATATGTAAACATTAGCTGAGATTTCTTTTTCATAACAAGAACATAACTAGCTGAATCCTAACTTTTTGTTATTAAGCTCTGCTCACTCTGGAAGGTGTCAAGTGGGGCCCTACCCAGTCCCCATTTCTGCTTCTCTGTCACTTCTCATGAAGTTCGTTGATAATCTTCAGTGTGGCATGTGATGGTATTTTAATGAATGAAAATGCAGGAGAGACAAGGAAGGCCATGGTTGCAGAGTAAAAGGGTGAGGACATCAGAACACTCCATATTCAGAGCTGACTAGACCACCAATCTTTCATTTGTAGAGATATTGTACCTAGGAACCCAACACCATTTTTAAGTATTTTCATTATTGACTCATTTATTTGTCGAGACATCTGTTCCTCCTGAACTGCTCTGCCTTAAGTTAGTAGAATGGTCTCTGGAAACCCCAGTCTCTATCATCTTAACCACCCAGGCTAGACTTTTTCTTAGACAAAGAGCTGCAAATTTAATTGAACAAAGAGCTAGTAGGGAAGCGAAAAACCCATCACTGCAAAGAATGGCTTGAAAACAAGCTGATAATCAAGGACTTTCTTCTCCCACGCACAGTTCCAACTATGTGCCACTTTTTAGTGTTAGTAGAGGTGTGTGTATGTGGCAAAGAGATAATGGACCACTATTCAACCTGATTCTCTTCGGTGCTAAGAAAGTGATGTGCGAGGTCTGCAGGGAGGCATCACACCAGAGCAGTGCCTGGGAGTGTCACTGGTGGTTTTCATGGACGATTCCTAACCCCCAGGCCCCTTGCTCAGATGTGGGGCCAACCACACCCTCCACCAGGGAGACCCATTGTTTCCTATTTGGGGTGGCATCTATAGGAAGTAGGGTAAGATTCTAATGATGGTTTATGCTTGTCTTTTCAAACGTTTGTACGGTGTACCACTAAAGGCTTAAAATCAGGGGAGGGGAGTTGTAAGCTCAAAAGATAATGCTATCAACCAGGGCAAACATGTCAGCTCAAAAGTTAACAAGGAAAAGTTAAACAGATTTTTCTAATATGCTTACAATTTGCTGGCTTACAATCGATTTTATTCAGCCATATGGTTTACTTCTTATACACTCACTTTTATACTCACTTCCAGTTAAAGTATTTAATAAGTTAGTGCTTAAAAAAAAATAGGCATGAATGATGTTTTTGTAAATTGTTTTCCAGCAACCAGCAGAGTGCCTGGCACTTAGTAGGTATGTGTTAGTTAATAAAAATATATGAATTTCATTTAGGATTTAAGAATGTAAGTAACTTTCTTCTAATCTTGTTTTTGCTCAGTATTTAATAAAAGCTTGATTTCAAGGACTACTAAGGGAAGGCAATATAAATGTAAAAACCACAAAATATATTTTTGCATTCTACTATTTCAGACGCATAGAGTGAATGGAAAGCTTTAGCACTTTTTTTTCCCCTGCATATGAGACAACATATTTTGTATTTCACTCAAGGCTCTGCCAGTAAAAAGTAATGAAATTGTACCTTTCTAATGACACCTATGCAGCAGGGGTCTATTGCCTTGTGGATGGCACCAAATTATCCAAGTGTATTAGGACACGAGGGCTTTTCCCTTTAATCCCTTCTTATTAATGAAGTGCATCGTGCTGCTCCCAGGAGAGGACTGCTGACAGATAGACAGAACGAGATCAGAGAGAAAAAACTGGAAGGATATAAATGAATTATACCCAGCCAGGAAGCAATGCCAAGTGTCTCTTCCCTATGGAAAAATACAACAAGCACTCCAAAATTGTGAGATGGTCCCTACAATGAAAATGTATATAGTTTGTCAAAAGAAGTACAAAGGGTAAGAGTCGTTTTTAAGTTTGCCGGGGGGGGGGGCTTTCTTAAATATTTGGGGCCCAGCATCTGAATGTATTTTTTTCATTGTTGAAGTTGGCTTTTCTTTTTTCCCAAGAGTCCTAAACTTTTACACTGGAAGGAAATATTTTCTGGTACCTAAACTGTTGCCTAGATGTAAGATTCCTGTACTTTGTGTCTACCATTTGATGCTTTTCATAAATTCTTCCCCTTTCTGACTCTTCTCCTAATGTAGTTGATACGTCCTAGCTGTCACTCAGTCTGAAAAAAAAGGGATTAGAAATATCTGAATAACATAGATGATGGCATTAAACTATCTGATTAATTGTTAAAGGTCTGATTCCAAATAGGACAGACTATTCTTCTTAGGCCGTGAAACCCTGCAACTTAACTTACTGGTTTCAATTCAGTAACGAACAGGAAAATTCCAAAATAGAGTAGCAAACTGAAGCACTAAAATTAATCCTATTGAGGCCCTTTGTTGCATCGTGTTGATATTATCCCTGCCTGTTGTGAACATTTGACAGAGAAATTGCCTTTGTGACAACTAGATGACAGTAGGAGCTCAAGAGACAGCCTTATCAGATAATACAAGGCCAATATAACTTGTCCTTATAAGCACTATAGAATGGGCAAACTCAGAATATCTTATGCCTGAAAGTAATTCTGTCTTTATGTTTATGTTCATGGCATCAAAATTTTTAGGAAGACGTGACTACTATCTGGAAAGTGCACTGAACAAAACTCACTTTCTTTACCACAAATTTTGTGTGCTTGCATTGTATTGTAATACTTTATAGATCACCCCAAAATAGCAGTAACTTTTGAAATTCGTAGTTCTCTGAAACACATAGAAGACATTTAATTTAGGGCTCAAAAACTGTGGCCACTCACTTTTGCAGATGACCATACCCTATGAAAGCAGTTATAGTGTCACCCACACCTGTTAAAATCCAAGAGCTAAAAATTACACCTAATCTATATAACCCGTTGGAATATATTTTTAGATTCTCTTCAGGATTAATTAGATAAGCATGCAGTTTATGCAAATATAATTGTTTATCACTTTTATGACCCAAATCACTATTGTAATTCCTGATAAACTGGTGAGAATAAACTAAGCATATGATTATATTCACAATTATTTATTAATGGAAATATTATCCCAACATCAGAGCTAATGTTGAGATTTAAACTGTAATGTCTAAAATGTCTAATATTTGGAATAATCTATTAAGTATTAGCATTGTAGTTGATTTCCATGAATTGCATTGTATCTCATACTACTAAGTTTGTGCAAATAAACTTTTAATGTTTAAAAAGTAAGCATTGCATCTGATAATGCTTGAAAATTCACTCATAGTTTTTTCAAGTTAGATCTTGCAAGCATCCTTTAGAATGACCCAAAGGTTTAGATATTTGAGTATAATCAACACCAAATGAAACAGCGGTGGGATCTATATAATGAAATGCATTTTTTGGAAGGCTGCAGAGGATACACTATGGTAGGCCCTGATGGACACAATGAAAATTGTACTTTCATGGGCTTACTTCTAAATGTTCACATCCATGCAGAATAGGCCATTGAAGATCAGCTATCATTACAGTGAGTCTGAAAGTGAAGACTTTATCAACTGTGACTCGGATGAGGCTGGTATTGCTAAATAGATGATCCATCCTTAGGGCATTTGGCAGAGTCTGCCTACCCAGATGGATAATGTAGGCACAGTGAATACTGGAACACTCCCTTGGGTTCTTAGTTTGAGGGGCTCCTCAATTTTGAGAGGCTATAGACCCTCAGGGAAGAATTGAAGACAATCATTTGTGTAGTGTGCAACCCATCAGATGAGTAGTGAATGATGCCTTCGGAGCCAGGTGGACACGTACCTCTCTTACAGCATTTGTCAGTGTTCGCCAATATAGCAATGGCAGTATTTCACATTGTAGTGAAATAGCTTGTGTAGGTATCTGTCTCCCCTACTAGCTTCTAAACTCCTTGAGGGCTAGGATGATATTTTATTTCTTCCATATCCCCCACCCGCAGCACTGAGCACCAGGCTTGACATTTCACTCAATATATGCTCGTTGCATGGATGAATAAAGAACTTAAGGAGTATCTCACAATCACGAGGAAATACTACAAAGCACTGTACCTCAATTTAGTTGCTCTTGCCGTTGT